TCGTTTATCGACTCCTCCATCCTAAGTACCAGCAAGGTCGAGTTCGAATTCAAGTTCCCATCATTCTCTTTACCAATATTCTGTGTGTACTCCTTGCAAAAAGCACTATTCAATTGATTCACATAACCATACCCACATTAAGATTAGATTTTCATTTCGTTATCGAACATGATGACTCTTTCGTTTGTCGCTTTCGTGGCTATGTATTTGGATCAACACTCGTTGCTACTTACTGGAGTTTTGCACTTCAAGCCTTCTTTCGTTTTACTCGAGTCATTTTTCCGAAACATAGATGGCTGCATAAATCCACAATCTATCTGTTTGTGTTGATTCCCATGCAATATGTAGTTTCTTTTACTAGCGTTCTACCAATTCTCCTCACGGATGCTATCCAACTGGTTTCTAATGAAGTTTATTGTGGTATATCACGAAACGCAATTGTGTTCGTGACATATGCATATATAATCAATTTTATTCCGCCCTTGGGTACTGTGAGTATATGCTATATATGCGTTCTCTTGAAAATACGTCATCCACCATCAATACGTCCCTTACAACAACAGAGCCGAAGAGATCATCTTGTAATTCGTCGTATTGTGATCACCATCATCATTTTATGTGTGATATCTCTTCTATGCACCATTGTTTTGATTATTTATATACGTCGAGGCCATCTCGATTCACTTTACTATCGAATAATATGGGTTTTATCACCAATGGCCTCACTTTTACTCATGTTAGGTCTACCGTTTGTCGATCCTCAAGTGTGTGGACTATTGAAAGGCAATCAATGTGCGTCTATTATGTAATCAAATTTAATTCGATTCACAAAAGCTTTTTTTTAGTACAAATCATAGGGAAAGTGAAACATGAAAATCTTATTATTGATTTAAGAAAACAATTTTTATATTACTTATATCGTATCAATTGACTTGAAATTTTCAATCTCGTGCAGAATTAATGAAAATTACATCATTCGAACGAGCGTGAAAAACTGAGCATTGGATACAAATTTTTAAAAATGAGTGCACTATAGTTTCTAACAGATTTTTTCAAAAATACATTTTCCCACGGGAATTGCTTGTTTTTCTCGCTCAGAATCTTTTTTTTCTTCCTGTCGTTCTCTCTCTCGCGCGCCCCCTTCTCTTCCTGCATATGCTCAAGCGTTCACATATATGATCGTTCATGTACCATGTATATATACCGGGTGGGCCAAAAGTAAGGAAAAACAGAAAAAATTGAAATATCTTCATTGCGGCTTGAGCAAACGAACTAATTTTTTCATCAATGATAGAAGCATGTTCCAGCTTTATATCCATAAAGACATGCCTAAAGAAACTCTTTGTTAAGTATTACTATTGATCTGAACAAAAAAAATTTACTTTTTCACAGATAGGAAATAAAATAATATAAAGGACGGTGCAAAAGTCACTTTATCGAAAACAAAATTGAATACCTCCATTTCAGCTTGGGCAAATGAGCTGATTTTTTTATTAATTCAAGAAGTAAGTTCAAGGTTTATATCTATAAAGGCATGCCTAGAGAGATCCTTTGTTAAGTATATTATTTTATTTCCTATCTGTGAAAAAGTAAATTTTTTTTTGTTCAGATCAATAGTGATACTTAACAAAGGGTCTCGTTAGGCGTGTCTTTGTGGATATAAAGCTTGAATATGTTTCTATCGTTGATATAAAAAAATTAGCTCGTTTGCTCAGGTTGCAATGGAGATATTCAACTTTTTCTGTTTTTCCTTACTTTTGGCCCATCAGGTATATGTTGATGAAAAAAGATTTTAATAATGATATATTCATGATGGTGCAGGCTTCCATAAAAACTGTCAGTCAAAATAGTAAGATAAATACTATTGAAATAAATTATGAGAAGACTAATCTACTTAATTAGCATACGAATATAAATGATTACTCAAAGTTCAAATATTCAACATCAGATTTCAATTGTCTAGAAATATACCATATAACTGTTGTAGTTGACCGATTTTTGATCAAATAGATAGTCGCTTCTCTTACCCTTATTCTATAGATAATAAAAATCAATTGGAAAAAATTATTCAAAATATTTTTCTATATAATTGATGTTTTATTTTTTTTCTCTTTTTCTATGATCATTGCCATTATTATGTTACTTAGATGAAAGATTAGCGAAGATTAGTACGACGTGTAATCTTCAATACAGGCGACATTCATGCTTTCTCTTTTACTTCTTACACAAAGCTGATGAATGATTTTGCTCAAAGAAGCAACAACATGTAAGATTCGTCAATGAGCCATATTCACAATTCGTTTGTTGGCCACGAACACGCGTAAAAAGTGGTCACATATTGACTTAATTGTTGCTAAGGACGGTCTCTTTTCTTTTATCTATTTTTCTCAATCGTCTTGCTAGTATATACTAGCAAGATGATTGAGAAAGATAGATGAAAGTAAAGAGAGCGTCCTTAGCAACAATTAAGTCAATATGTGGCCACTTTTTATGCGTGTTCGTGGCCAACAAGCGAATTATGAATATGGCTCATTGAGAAAAAACCTCTCTTATATTTTTAATTTAAAATATAGTGATATTAAGTGTGAACCTTTGACTTGATTTTTGAAATAAGATTTCGATTGTAATACTATCTTATACATAAACCTAAAATTTTTCAGCAGAGACAAAATTTTCTTTGCTTCGCAATGACTAAACATATTTTCTATTTTATGTTTAGTTGTATTTCTATAAGATAAAATCTTTTGGGTTTCGTTCTCTTGTTGCATTTGTTTTTTTTACTATTTATTAAAGCTTTTATCTTTCAATTTTAATAATACAAACAACAGAAAAAAAAGAAAATACACTATTATGATGTTGAGTCTTGCAGTTATAATTTACTGGAAGAAAAATGACATGTTGATGTTCATTTGAAGTTAACAGCGTATATATATATGCACATATATCATTTTGAGGGTATGGGTGTGGGTTGATGTGGGTATCAGTGTGGGTGGGTGTATATCTACTCTTGAAGCTGATACTGACCCACACCCACATCATACTCCGCTCACATCCACACCCACACCCAAAAACAACAAAAATTTTTTCTCTTGATTAAAATTATGAGTGTGTGGGTGTAGGTGGGGTGAGTGTGAATGTGAATGCGGGTGAAGAGAATACCTACATCCACACCTAAACTCACGCACCTACACACCCACACCCTGCCAAAAGTCCAGTTCTCTTAACGGCAAAAGTTCCATAGAAAAACACAATTTTCAGCAATGGCTGAAAGACAGTACTGCAAAATTCGTGTTTTCCCCATATTTTGCGTGGAAAACTTGGATTCATATGGTTTTGGTCCTGCGAAACATGATAATGCTATCGATTTTTCGAAGACCTTGAAGGTGTGGATTTGAGTGCAAGGTGTGTGAGAAACCATGAATTTCACAGCATTGACTTTCGACCTTTGCCGAAACTTGTTTTTTATGAAACTTTTGCCGTTAAAAAAGCTGGACTATTGACAATTGAAATATTTCAATCTTTCTTATGACGAAAGCCCAATAAAAACAATTTTCAACATTTACCGAAAATTCAGTTTTATTAAGAATAAATTTTTTTGATGTATGACATGACTTCTGACGATTGTTGAAAATCAACTGTGAAATTCATGCTATCCGATGTGCGTAGAACAGAAGTCTCAGCCGCACCCACACCCATCTCATAAAGCTTGGTAAATAGTACGAAAATATTAGGTAACATAGGCAGATTTGTTTCGAATAGAGACATTTGCTAAATCAAAAATGTCGTTTTTCTCAAAATCAGTTTTTTTTTCAAGTGTCTCGTTTATGCGGACAAACTTTTCCTAATAATGACTGAATAAAAACTCATGTCACAAAAACCGGATCACTTTTAGCGGTAAATCGGGGTAATTGTTAAAACTGCCGACATTCATTGATACTGCAGTTCGTTACAAATTTCATCGGTTAACCGCAATTCAACGATAATATTTCCGGTGAACTATAGAAAGCGAACGGCTGCAGAACTAAAAAACAACATGTATATGTACATGTGCATGTCTGTTGCATCACTTATTTTGTTTGTTTGCTTGTTTAAAGACAAGAATCAGTATAATGATTATGAGGTTCAGTTGAGACTACATATTTTTTTATATTGAAGGTTTTAATATTTATGTTTTTTAGATTAACTCTTTTATATTTATTTTTTAAGATTACTTTTGTGTTCATTTTTTTATGTATGTTTTTTTTACATCGGTTTGTATTTTTATTTTTGGTTGAAGTAAAAATTAGGTTAATCGAAAAAAAATAACTGTTAAATTTAAGTACAAATATTAACGAAACAAAGAATGAAACATTGTTGGTTAACTGCACAGAAGGATCGGTTAACCGAGGTTTACCGGAAAAAACTGCCAGTTTGCCACGGTATTGGGAGCCGGTAACCGGACCGGTGAAACCGACAGTTTTTCTCCGGTTTTCTTTACATGGGAAAAGTAATCATTTTTTTTATTAGAGAGCAAATAGTTAAGGCTAGGTCATAATAGAGCCTGATTTTTGAGTTTTTCTTTTCCTGAAATAAAAGATTTAGATCTTTGATTTAAATTAGCGATTTTGTTTTGGTCATGAATTTGGAAAAATGTTTTTATAAAAAAATAAACAACAAGAAATTCAAAAATCGGACTCTATTACGACCTAGCTTTAAGTGTACTCGATAATTTAGAAACCACTCCGATATTTTAGCTCATATCGTCATTTTGAAAACATTGCCCATGTAAAGAGTGTGAGCCTTCCTGCGGCCAAGTCCTTGTCATTCCCAAATACTTTTGTCGTCCCGACTTCACATAAAATGAATTGTATATCAGCTGCTGGCGCCATCTTATCACAAACAATGTGAACAACAACGTGGATTTGTATTTGTACATACTAATTAAGCAATAAGAAAGCAAGGATACATGAAAGGTAGACTAGGTAACTTTTAAAAACAATTGACCTTGATAATTTGTCAAAATGCGGGTCCGTTTTGGACGTACGTTTCGTCTTATAATTGCACTTGCTTTTCTTATTCTTATAATACCATTTTTAATGTTTAAACTTGAATCTGTTAATGATCAACCAAGTCCTGAACATGTTAGAATCGATTATCCAGAAGTAAACATAAAAAATCATTGTTTTTTTTGATGAAATCTTTAATTCTTTTTTATTTATTATTTAGGATAAAAAAATTGATAGTGTTGTTGAAACTATTCGAAAACCTCTATCTGGCTCAATAAATGTCACTTTAGAACCAATAATGAGTAATTCATTAGGAAATTATGAACCAAAAGATTTACCAACAAGAACAGGTCCAGGAGAAGGAGGTAAAATAAAAAAATAAATTCAATAATTGTTTTCTTTCATTCGAAAAAATAAACAAAAGGTGTTCCTGTTAAACTCTCGGCTAAAGAAGAAAAAGAAGCACAACCAACAATTCAGTTATATGGTTTTAATATGGTTGTTTCTGATAAAATATCTTTAGACAGACGTATTAAAGACACTCGACCACAAGAGTATGATATTAAAATAATTATCTCAAAGTAATTCGACATTTTTTTGTTTTTTTTTTCTTAAATTTAGATGTAAAAATTGGATTTATCCAAGTGTACAATATTTACCAACAGCTTCAGTTATTCTTGTCTTTTATGATGAAGGATGGGGTGTTCTATTACGTACTGTACATAGCGTGATTAATACATCACCACCTGAACTTTTAAAAGAAATTGTTCTTGTAGATGATGGTAGTAGTGATGGTATGAATTTAATAAAAATATTTCATTCTCGAACTCAACAAGTCTTGAATAATCGAAAAATAATTCTCCTAATTCTTTTATCATTTTGTAGAGAATAATCTTGCTTTTTATTCTATTCAAAAAAAAAACGTTAATTTTCTCCGTCTAAACTTAATGTTCACGACTTTAAAATGTCGATACATAACTTCTAATACAAAATTCCTAGAGAAATTTTGAACCACGGTTTGAATTTGATTCAAATTACTACGCCATCTGCTGTTAGAATTAACTTTATGTTGAATGACTCTTCTATTTCCTGCTAATAAGAAACTGATACAACTGTAATAGGATTCTTTTTTATCTCTTATTTTAGCTTCTTTACAAGAACCATTAGAAAAATATATAAAACGTTGGAATGGTCTTGTAAAACTTTATCGTACTGGAAAACGTGTTGGTCTAATTGAAGCACGTACAATTGGTGCACAAAAATCAACGGGTGATGTTATTATTGTTCTTGATGCTCATTGTGAATGTGTAGGTTATTTAAGATGATTTTAAACATAAAAGATTCAATTTGTTTTTTTTTTGTTTTTTTCTAGGTTGTTAATTGGCTTCCACCATTGTTAACACGTATAGCACTTAATCGAAAAGCATTAGCTGTTCCTATTGTTGATGGGCTTGAATGGAATACATTAGAACATACAAATATATATGGTTCAACTAATTATCGTGGTATTTGGGAATGGGGATTTTTATATAAAGAAACTACAGTACCAGAACAAGAATCAAAAAAAAGAAAATATTCATCGGAACCTTATTGGTAAATATATTTTTTGTTTACGTGGAAAAATTTTGTTTTGATTCAATGGATCGACTTCGATAGATCTAGCCCATTCAGAGCCCATGAGGTCCAGGTCTACAAATTTTGAGTCGATCCGGTCCACCCGATGGGCTCTTTCCACAAAAGATTAACCAATCAGGTTCGAACCTAAAACTCTGATCGACCGGGTCCGCGTCCAAAAACTCTTGGATCCGAGGGACTCTAGCCCTGCTGCAGAATACTATGTGTGAAGCAAACCTCCAATTGGGCCGCCCGGCCCGACGATTTTATTCTTTTTTGACATAAATTTTTCTGAGATTTGGCTCACTTCTGAGAAGAGATAGGGGGAAGTTTCTTCATGCTTCTCTCTGTTGGTCATCATTTTTTATAAAAGCTGAAAAATATGGAATAACTGTCTATTGAAAAAAAAAATCTCTGTAACCGAAGTTTCTTTCGTAGTCGAGCGGGTCTAAAGCATTCGTTGAGCCACTTTGGGCCGGTTCGGACCATAAAAAAGTGGCCCGATTTCGAGGACTGGTGCGAAGTCCAGCTCAATATTTAAGCAGCAACTATACTGATATAGTGTACTTTTCCGGATAGGACATTCATGTCGTGCAAACCGCGGTTCTTCTGTTTGATTTGTTTTTTATACCTCGCTGCGTGAATATTTTTAAACTCTTAGAAAATTGCTAGATTTCAGTAAAAATCGCGCCTTCATACGACTGTGGACACGCTCGCACCACTCCTATCAACCACATCGGTTGTTTTAGTTTAGTTTTCGAGTTTGATTATTTATACCAATGAATGAATGGTTTCTCTGTAGCTTTAGAAAATTTTCTTCCTTAAATGAAAACTATATTTTAGGTCACCAACACATGCTGGTGGTTTATTAGCTATTGATCGTCAATGGTTTTTTGAATTAGGTGCATATGATCCAGGCATTCGTGTCTGGGGAGCAGAACAGTATGTTTAATTCTTCACAATTTTGTTTTTTGTAAATCTTCATTAAAAATTTTATTAGATATGAACTTTCATTTAAAGTTTGGCAATGTGGTGGTGTTGTTGAATGGGTACCATGTTCACATGTTGCACATGCTTATCGTGGTCCTCGAAATCATGGATCTTATGTACCTGGATCAAGTCCATATCAAACATCAATAAATCATTTACGTTTAGCTCATGTATGGATGGATGAATATACTGAATATTATTATAGACGTGAACCAGGTATACGTCGATTAAACTATGGTGATATATCAGAAAGAAAAAATCTTCGAGAAAAATTACAATGCAAACCATTTAAATGGTTTATGGAAAATATAGCATATGATGTTTTAGAAAAATTTCCACCACCATCAAAAAATGTTGTTTGGGGTGAAGTAAGATATAAGAATAAAAAAAAATTTTCATAAGAAAACAAGAATATGAAATTTTAGTGTAAAAATCTTCAACATTCTGTTTGTTTAAATGATCTTGGTGCTTCATTTGGTCAACCAATTGGTGTTGCTACTTGTTATGGACAGGTATGATTTACTGAAGAAAAAAAGAAAAAATAATGAGAAAAGTGCGTTTTATGGTTTCTAGAAATGGATAAAAAGAATAATTGATCCATATATGACAGGATTGGTGAATAAATAGATTTGTTTATTTATTTTTTCTTGTTTGAGTGATTACATATAACCTTTGATCTATGTATATTCCATATGAGGAAAAAGTAAAAAGTATAGTATGAATAGAATTTGAATTTGTGTTTGTCATGCTAAAGTAACATATTTTATTTGAAATGATGAAAAAAAAAAAGAAATGAAGTATTCGTTTGTCGTCATATTTTACTAAGATGTAGGAGATTACTAGAATGGCGTAACCTCTAAAGATTTTCCGTTTTTGCTTAGATTTGGTCGAGGTAGCGAATTTTTAGTCAAGAAATCTACTAAAATATTGCTATCCCGATCAAATCTAAGCAAGAGAAGAAAACCTTTGGAGGTTACGCTACTCAAGTAAGCTCCTGCATATTAGCAAAATATGGCAGCAAACGGAGCGAATCACTTGGGAATATTCTTTCGTGTGTGGCTACATTGTTCTGTACGTATCCAATGGGTACTATGTTCAAACATCGGTATCACCAACCATGGAATGACCCTGGACAAGTCACTGACGGCTGTTTGTTTCGTATCATCCTTTCGATAGCATGCTGACTACGTTGTGATATACGCCTGCCATTGTGGTTAGTTAGTGTGCACAGAAAGTTCAAGCGATTGAGCGCAAGAACTCTGCATCTAGCTAGCATTCTGTCCAGAGCTACAGCTGGTAGCAGTTGTAGAGAAGATATCAGGATAATTAGTTTGTAGCTAGATAGCATTCTATACCGAAAGGTAGGAGTATTCTACTTCTTCCTGTCGCATCTGTGTAGGGGAAGTTCCAAAATTCTACTTCTATACTTCAACACTCCTTTTAGATGGTGCTTCACAAATTGCATAAATGCTTTAGGTAACCCTATTTTTTATACCCTGTGTATTGTTTGAAAACTTTCGAGATTATGTAAGTTTTGTATGAAATCTTCCGTATGTTTTCAGTTATTACAAAATGAGATTATAAACATTTTTTTAATTGAATAAGCCAATACCTTATATAAACACTTGATAATCTTCTAGTAGGAAGCATATGCCATTCAAGGAGAAAAAGCAAATTTCTAATCTATATAACAACTACACTAGTCGATTGTTGTTATCATAAGCAAAACGTATAGAACTTATGAAAAATGAATTTTACATTAAAATCATTCCATAATAAAAAATTTTTGTCAAATAAACATCTGAAATTGTTCGATTATTGCTTTTGTATTTTTTTTTGCACACGAAAATAAAATTCATCAAATATTTTTTGCTTTTTTCTCTTTGGTTTTCTGGTTGTTTTGTTTTTGTGTATCCTCTGATGAATATTTTCAATTTTCGAATTTATTTAAGGCTGTTTGGCGTTTAAATGAAGGTGGTGAAATCGCTACTACTGAACATTGTTATATATCTGATCATGATATTGTAAAGAAAAAATTCTGTTTGGATCATAATGGTCAATGGAATCCAATTGGAGAATGGCAATGGGATAATGTAAGAAGAATACAATATAAACAAAACAATTTTCATTTTGGTTGTTTTAGATAACAAGTCAAATTCGAAGTAATAAAGAACATTTATGTATGGAAACAGACGGTAGTAAATTGAGATTAGCAAAGTGTGACGCAGAAAATAAATCACAAAAATGGACCTGGAGAGAAATTTATTATTGACAATCTTTTGTTTTTTTTTAATGCTTTAATCAAAAACTATCCATTGATGCAAAACAAAAAAAAATATTTATATTTTTACTTCTTCTTTTTGTTTCCAATGTTATTCTTCTTGTTCTATTTATTTTTTTTAAATGTCAATTTAGATTTTCTTAATAGAAAAACATTCTTCTCTAAAATATTTTTTCTATGTTTCAAATATCTCATCATTTAAAAAAATCTATACTACTTATTGGTAAATACAATAAATCCTACCTCGTCCAAATTCAAAAGCGATTGATCAGTTGCAGACGTTCTCTAGTGAATTTTCATTAGTCCAAACTTGTATCGAGCTTAAAGTTGACATCAAAACTAAATTCTCGTCCTGAAGTCGATGTTGAATACATGACATTTTATTCATGAACTAGAATCTGTCCAAAAAGTCCGTGCATGTGACTGTTTGTTGAATAACTTAATAACAGAAACAGTTAGAGACCAGCGGTTTTCACCAGTCGAAGGAAGTGATATGGGAACGTCTTTTTCTCCGATATTGTATACGACGAATTTATTTTAAAATCAATCATTTCTTCAAAACATTGGAAAATATGCGTGATAACGGTCTATTATTTCGATGAGATTTTGGTTTTAATATGTGATCTAGATAGAGGGACTTCAGATTTATAGCTTAAGATATAATTTAAATGATTATCTTCACACCTCCTAATATTAAGCAAATGCATTTCTCTATTTGCTTCCTCGAAAAATATAAATTTCTCTGGAATCTTCTTACTTTTTATTAAAAATTTCATCTCAATGATAGAATATTTTCGTATATTTTTTCGATGTTTTGTAAAAAGGATTGATTTTAAAGTGAATTAGTCATACACAATATTGGAGAAAAAGACGTCCCCATATCATTTCCTTCGACTGATGAAAATCGCAGGTCTCTAGCTGTTTGTATTCTTGAGTTATTCAACAAATAGTCATATGCATGGACTTTTTGGATAGACTACACAACAATATGATAGTATTTGCTGGTATAATATCCAGTTCAAGAGTCAGAGTGAGATTAAAAAAAGTTATAAGTAGTTATATTTATAGATGAGAATTCTACAGAAAATTGCTTATTAAAACTTTCATTCATCAACCGACTACCTACAAATGAAATATCATCAATGTGTCGTAGTTCCTTAAATAGAAATTCGATTTTAGAACTAAAATCGAATTTTGATCTCAACTTTAAACTCGATACAAATTTGAATTAGTTCAAACTCGGATATTAGAATAACCTAGACGGATCTTAGGTTAGCCGCTGACATATACCTCGATGAATAGAGAAAAAACAAAGTCGTGAACAATGAAAATAGACACAGTAAATTAATACACGGGCGTGTATGGTAACGATTGTTTTATCAGAACTTTTGATCTCTATTCTATGTACTGACAATAAGAAAATATATTCCTACAATTGAAGAATACGTTAATTCTTTTTCGATCAATAAAAATCATTCCGTAGAGAACTTTTAAGGTGATAATATTCATAGAATCAGGGGTGGCCCGAATCTTGAAAAATTTCCATGTTTTTACAGCGGAGGTCCAACATTTTATTGTTTTTTTGCTCATGGTTTCTAAAAACCTTCAACTTTCCTATCCTTCGGTCAATTTCAGCAAAGATCTTCCAACTGGCCTCCTGAGTCATCAACTCCTCGTCAATACTGACGACCTCGGGACGCTCCCGATATAGAGTCTTGTTAAAATAGCATCTCGAAAACCACAACTCGCAAGAGCCATAGTGTTACTTATATCTCTTCGCGCAATCTCCAATTACACGAGTCGATGAGGATGCAAAGGTCTTAGAATATTATCAAAAATAGTCACGATTAGAGGTGTAAGCCAAACAGCTGAGCCGCCGCCGCCGCCGGAAACTAACAAAAACGTTAAGGATTCTCAGCCGTCGCCGACGTTGTACAATAAAACATATTCAAGTTTCCCATATTTTGGACATAGAGTTGATTAAAACAAAATGAAATCTGTCTTTAAACTTGAAAACCAATTTTTAATCGGTTCAATCAAGAAATCACTGATTTTAATCTATTTTATCAGCATTGTTCTTGTATAAGTATTGTTTGGTATAGTAGATCCGCAGTATGACATATATGTCAAAGAGTTCTAGCGTTATATTTACTATTTGCTGAGCCGAGAAGTCTAAGGAACTATTCAAAAATTTGAGTTTCTAAATAAAAACTTGAGACAACATATTTTAAGGCTACTCTGATTAAAATTAGTCAGAAATGGAATAACCTGATTTTAGACTAAAATCATATTTCTTTTCCTTTTTTAACTGGTTTGTCCAGTTTCATACCAGCCATTTTTCTATTAGCATTTTCTACCTTTTTAATTTCAAAATCTCTCGAAAACAAGAAAATAAAGGGTCATGGAAACTCTTGAGCCGCTGCCGACTAGCTAAATCTCTTCAGCCGTTGCTGATCAACTCATCAGCTTACACTTCTAGTGGCGATAAATGATAAATACCGTGAAAGTTCCATTCAGTTTGTATTCGTCAATCAATTTATGCAGCAGCATTCAAGAATTGATAACGGAGCAGATCGACTGGTAATACTTATAATAGTTTTTCGAAGCACTAGGCATTAATTATAAGCTCTTTTTTTCTAATTTCATACTGTCTGAATGGCAAAGTAATTCGCTTTCTTCATTATCGTTGATACTTCATAAAATTTAATTATTTTGTTTTGATACAGACTGAGAAAAGAGTACGAGTCACATCACCTGACAATTTTTTTAATCTGATTGCGCCAAATATTTTATTTTTAGATGCTTTTAATTGGTGATTCTCTCTTACATCATGTTCGTAAACCAATTACAACACCATGTGAATCTGTTGAAACTTATATTGAATCAATTGGTGGTTGTACCATTGATCGTTTAATAACATTGATTAAACAAGAATATTTTAAATCATCATTTTTAAATCAAAAACATTTAATAATTGTTATTGGTACAAATAATTTAGCTCGTGAAAAATCTCAATCAACAATAGTTAAATTAGAAAATTTACTTAATTTAATTTATCGAAAATATTCATATTTAAAAACAATTGGTATATGTACTGTACCAGAACGTACAAAAACAAGTATTTTTTATCGTACATATGGTGATAATGGTGGTAAATCAATACGTAAACGTATTAGAAAATATAATCAAAAATTAAAACATTTAAGAAAAAAACAAATTAAATCAAAACGTTTTACAATTATTAAATTAAATTTTGATTTATCATTACATGTATCAAATGATGGTTTACATCCAAATGCCAAGGGTATTGAACATATATCAAATGTTTTACAAGCTTATGCAGATACACTTAAGATTATATGATTTATCAATTCTATGCAGATATGAAAATGTTCATCGTTTTGTTAGCCTTTTTTTTTTCTTATGTGTTGCGTACATCTGACATGAATGAAAAATAAAAATAAAAACATGCACGTTCATTAATGAAAATTTTTAAACATTCATATTTGATTGTGTAGAGCTCTGAAGAAAAGAATAAACAAGTCGAGCAATGATACAAAGTTATACAATATCTATTTGGGAGTATTCATTATTGCAAAATAAGATATATTTTAGGACTTAAGAAAAATATGTATTGGGTTTTCGATCATATTCGACTATGAACGAATACGAAAGAATGTATTATTAGGCAACAAAAGTATTGAAAATAAAATTCTCCTACAGAAATGACATTCGTAATTTGTCTAGATAAAGAAAGTCTTCGACCCAATGAACTCTAATCTTGATTACTATGAACTGATAGATACGATTTATAATGTAAATAAAAATTCTAAATGATTTATTGCTCTATGATTGGTAATAAGGTATGTCGAATTTAGTTTTCATGTCTCAAACTGTGTAACAATTGATAGTTTAAAGATGATTGAAGTCTTTTCTGAATATTGAAAACGATCAGCAAGATGAATACCTTTAAGAGAAAAGACAAGAGTCAAAAGATCATAGGCCAATGATTATGTTTTCTCAGATGTCATTGAAAAAGATCAAAATCAATCAGTTAGAAACATAATTTTATGTTTAGCTATGAACTAATATTTAAATAAATCATATGACGAATAACATGAAAAATTCTATATAGAGTTAATTTCATTCTTTAGACACGATTGATTTTCAATGAATCATGTAATATAGATCCGTGCAGTACCGAAAAAATTTTAAATAACCAATAGAAAGAATGTCTTTATTGTCCATCATATTTTATTCATTGATAATAAAATCAAGTAATTGAAAGAATTTCAATGTAATATTTTAGATACCAATGGCCACATCTGATTCATTTCAAATGGATTCACTTAGTGATTCTTTATTAGCAGCTGTTACAGAAACATCTTTTTATGGATCTAATCATCCACCAGTTACTGGTAATTTTTTTTATTTTAATTAAAGCAAAACAAAAAGGTTTTTCATAAGTTTATTTTCTTTAGAAAAACAACCTTCGAAACCTTTAACTGAATTGAATTTACCGACAGCTGTTATTAATTGTTATCAACGTTCTGGTATATCACATCTTTTTGCTTGGCAAGCTGAATGTATTGAAAAAGCAAGTGCAAGTGGTAATTATAATTTATTTAGCTTAATTTCATTTAAATAAATTTCTATTTATATATAAATATATATACAGGAAAACGAAATTTTATTTTCTCTGCTCCAGGTTTGTTTGTTTGTTTGTTAAAAACTATTTTGATTATTATTAGATTTTATATAGCTTCAGCCGGAAAAACAATTGTATCTGAATTACTGTTAATTAAATCAGTACTTGAAACAAAACGAAAAGCATTGTTTATTGAACCTTATGTTAGTATTGTTCAAGAAAAAGCAAATTATTTTCGAGTAAGTTTTATCTGTTTTTTTTTTTATCTTTTATTCATTAAATTTATTCAAATTAAAATTTTAGAAACTTTTTTCATCACTTCATTTACGTATTGCATCATATGCTGGTACAAATGATTCTTATCATTCATTTTCCAATAGTCATATTATAATATGTACTATAGAAAAAGCTAATAGTATAATAAATCGTTTATTATCAAATCGTGATGATTTAAATGAAATAGGTATTATTATTGTTGATGAATTACATTGGATAGGTGAATCGAATCGTGGTTATTTACTTGAATTATTATTAAGTAAAATAATTTATTATAATCATTTACAAACAACAAATAATCCTGTACAAATTATTGGTATGAGTGCAACAATACCTAATTTAAATCAATTAGCACAATGGCTTAATGCTGAAGTCTATGAAACAACATTTCGTCCAATACCATTAGAAGAATATATTAAAATTGAATCAATTTTATATAATAAACAATTTATACCTATACGTCAATTACATTTATCTGATCAATTGAATCAAGGTGATAGTGAAGGTATAACGGAAATTATTTGGAATGTTATAAAACAAAATTGTCGTAGTGTACTTGTATTTTGTTCGACAAAACATTGGTGTGAAGTTTTAGCAAAATTATTAGCAAAAAATTTTCATCGAATTATCGATAATAAACAAATAAATCCATTTGATAAAACAAAACTTGAAGATATTATCGAACAATTACGTCGAACTGTAATTAAACTAAGAAAAAAAAAAAAAGAATAAGAGATTAAATTTTATATTAATTATTGCTTTTTTTTTATAGCCAGCTGGTCTTGACGCCGATCTTGCTTGTTCAATACCAATGGGTATTGCTTTTCATCATGCTGGTAGAAAGAATTTTTTTTGTTTTTTTTTTATACACTATAGTGGTTTTAGGTTTAACAATTGATGAACGAGAAATTATTGAAAATGCTTATCGTGCAAATATTATTCGTGTTATTGTTTGTACAAGTACATTATCTACTGGGGTAAATAGCAAACTGTTAAAATGACAAAAGATTTGAGTATAATCAACGAATAATAAGAATTCGTGGTTGGAATCGATCCGAAATCGAACAGCTTTTTTTTCAAAACATTATCCAGTCTGATCTGTTTCTTTTGTCATCTATTGATAAAGAACGGAGGTGCATAAGGATCATTTTCGGACCATTATCAATTTCAGTCGGTTCATAGATGAGTTTAGACACATTTTTGCTCAAAATACTGATTATTCACTCCTATACCATAAATATATTCTGAAAGTTCGAAGGAAAGGATTAAAAAAATCATATGCTTTTGGATTATTTTTTGGAGGTCAACTTTGTTAAATAAGACAATGTGATTTCTGTTTAGACACCATTTCTTGACTCATATTTAATAGATTTCGATAGGAAAAAATAGAATTTGAGTCAAAAGTAATAACATATTTGAAATCAACACAAAAAACTGAGTTAATCTATATATGTTTCAAAGTTTTTTGTTGAACTTTTTTTTTCTTGAAAAATCGAGCTGAAGTCCCCCTCAGGACCCAGTCAAAGAATAAATTTAAGTGAAATATCATTTTTATTATTTAGTTCTTTGTTATTTTGTCTTCTAATAACATTTTACAATCTCTGAACTCGTTCTCTACTGTTCAAATGATTTTCTAATTAAATTTATTTTTTGGCTGGGTCCTGAGGAAGAACTCAGCTGAATTTTTCGAGAAAAAAAAAGTTCGATGGAAAACTTTGAAACACATATAGATTAACTCAGTTTTTTTGTGCTGATTCCAAATATGTTATTGCTTTTGATTCAAATCATATTTTTTCCGATCGAAATCTATAAAATATAGATCAAGAAATGGTGTCTAAACAAAAGTTCATCTCGAAACAAATCCAAAGGCATATGATTTTCTCGAGCTTTCAGAATCAATCAAAACTTCATGTAGTTGTTTTTTTCTCGAGATATTGCAAAAATATTGAATAGAAGTAATAAGAGAACTGTTTGATTTTTATGTTGATTTCGAACAATTTTTATGTCATTACTCAGCAACACTTTAATCGTTCGACTTGAAATTTTTATCAGACATAGACTATGAAATGAGTAGTTATTTGAGATAATTTATAGTATAGGAATGAATATCAATATATTGGGTAATAGTGTGTCTAAACTCATTAGAAATAGCTTTATTTTGTTACCAAATAATACCTCTTGAAACTCTGTATCTAGTAAATTATGAATCGACTGAAACTGACGATGCTTCAAAAATTACCCTTATGCGCTTCCGTTCTTTATGTCGGAAGATTATTGAAATCTTAAGCTTTTATCTGAAAATAATTACCGTCATGCTTTATGTTTTTTTTCTTTACTAGGTTAATCTTCCTGCTCGTCTAGTAATTATTCGAAGTCCACTTCAAAATGGTCGATGTATTGATTTAAGTACATATCTTCAAATGGTATGATGACATTCATTAGTTAAAATATAATTTTTTTTTGTGTTTTCTGTGTCAGGTTGGTCGAGCTGGTCGAAAAGGTTATGATGATTATGGTAAAAATGAATTATTTGATGTAGAGATATTTGATCATATTTTTGGTTTTTTATTTTATTTAATTAGCTGAAAGTATTTTAATTTGTTCAAAAAAAGAAGTTGCTCTAGTACAAAAAATGTTTGAACAACAAAAAACTAAACCAGTCAATAGTTGTTTTTTTGAAATAGAAACACATACAAGTTTTAAACAAGCTTTACTTGAAATAATTTCAAGTGGAAAAGCTAATACAAAAGAACAAATTATATCTTATATTAAATCAACATTTTTCTATATTTGTACAAATTCTAATAAAACAACAATAGATGAACAATCGACTATTGATAAATGTCTTAATTGGTTATGTCATAATGAACTTATTCATTGTATAGATAAAGAAAATATTATTAATGAAACTAATTTACGTTATGAACCAACACAACTTGCTTTAGCAATTATTAATTCATCTATTAATCCAGATGATGGACTTAAACTTGTTGTCGAATTAAATAAAGCTCAACGAAATTTATGTCTTGAAAATGATTTACATTTAATCTATCTCGTAAGAAAATTTCTTTATAGAATTAACATTGATATAATAATAATTAAATTTAGATAATTCCTCAACATTTAATCAATTCCATGTTGACAACTCTCGATTGGAATGTATTTCATACTGTTTGGCCAACTGGTGCTGTTGAACAACATGTTGCACATTTAGTTGGTGTTAATAGTATGATTGTATATAAAAAAGCAGCATCATTACGTATTGAAAAACGTGAATATGAAGAAAAATTAGATGGACCACGTTATGCAAGATTTTTTATTGCACTCATACTTAGTGATTTATTATTAGAAAAAAATATGTGTGATATTATAAAAAAATATCAATGTACAAAAAGTTTTGTTCAACAATTACAACAAACATCAGCTAGATTTACATGTA